AGAGAGAGAGAGAGAGAGAGAGAGAGAGAGAGAGAGGTGAGGTGTTGGCTGCCCAAGCCATTAGTGATGCCTTGCTGCCTCCCTCATTCTGAGTATCTTGCCTGATTCTCAATTAGTCATCTCCAGGGGGAGGGTGTAGGTTGGAGTAAGGCGCCTGGGGTCTATCATTGTTAACCAAGCCAACCGTAATCAGTTGAAAGTAATAACACATTTGAGCAGATTGTATGTGTTTAGAGGCGGGCGGGGGGGCTCAGAGAGAATAGATATTGTTTTGGCATCTTCCCATTTTAAAAAGAAAGAACTTTAAATATGCTGTTTTCGCTTAGTTGTTGCACAAAGTAAGACTAACTGTCCTCAGACGTCACCGGTCCTGGTCTTATCCCTGGGTCCTCGTCCAGTCCTCCCCGACTCCCTCCCTTCCTTCTTTACCTTAGCAACATCTAAGAAGCGCCTCTCTACTGAATGCTGAATTCCTTTTTTTCTGACCATTTTCCAAATTCCTGGGCCAGAGTATTGCCACTGTTCCTTTCCGCTATGACAAAGGCACCCAGACTCCTTGCCATGGATTGGGTCCCCCTTTCTCTTAATTTATGTGCTGAAGTCCCAGCCCCAAATGGGACTGTACTTGGAGAGGGGGCCTTTACAGAAGTGATTCAGGTTAAATGAGGTCATATGGGGAGGCCTTGATCCGATGGGATTGCTATCTTCATAAGATGAGCCACCTGAGGGCTCTCTCTCTCTCTCTCTCTCTCTCTCTCTCTCTCCCACGTGAGGACACAGTGGAAAGGTGGCCGTCTGTGGGCCAAGAAAAGGGCTCTCACAAGAACCTGACATGTTGGCACCCTGATCTCGGACTCTCTGTCTCCAGAATTGTGAGAAAATAGTCTTCTGTTGTTTAAGCCACCCAGTCTGTCGTGCTTTGTGATAGCAGCCCATGCAAGGTGCGGGGAGTCAAATCCTGCTTATGAGTCACGTGATAAGATTCTTTGAAGGCCCCAGGATCGAGAGTCACTATCCTTCTCCTTGGTCAGACGCCCAGAGCTTGAGGTTTCAAATCCAGCCCAGCTCGGGCCTTTTTGGCTTCCCCTTTCTCTGTCGCTTCAGCTTCTCTCATGGGCATCGCCAGCAAGAGCCTGTGTCTGTCAATTCAGCACCACGGACAGAGGCACCCCCCTCAGTCCCCACAGATGAGAAGCTACCGCCTAGTGCTCTCATGAAGGTTGTGTTGGGAGGGTAAAGGGTGGGCTGAGCAAGAGAAAGACAGGAAGGGAGACTGACTAGAGCAGTGGTTCTCAACCTTCCTAATACCGCAACCCTTTAATACAGTTCCTCATGTTGTGGTGACCCCAACATAAAAATATTTTCGGTGCTACTTCATAACTGTAATTTTGCTACTGTTATGAATCGTAATGTACATATCTGATAGGCAGGATGTCTTTTCATTGTTACAAATTGAACATAATTAAAGCATAGTGATTAATCACAAAACAATATGTAGACTATTATGTGTTTTCAATGTCTAAGCGACTCCCTGGAAGGTGGTGTGGTACCCAAGGGGT